TTATATTTCAGCTAATAAGTATTAAAATTAAATATATTTGCTTTGTTTTTTTTGTATAATTCAACTTAAAATTGAAAATATTTATTTACAACTTGTATTATGTAAAGTAATTGCCAACAAACACTATACAAGTTTTTGTAAATAATGATTTAGAATCTTACATCTATACTACTAAGTTTTAGAAATTCAACCTCTTTCACAAAAGTATAATTATATAGTAGTATAAATGCATTATACATTTTAATTTAAGCATTTAGTACATTTGTACTTGTTAATCTGATACTAATTTTTTCAAATTTCAAGAGCTGTATGCAAAATTTGATAAAATACTAAATTTTTTATACCTTTTTCTTGAAATTTTGAATGAAAAAAATTAGCTTAAAAATAAAATTTAATATTAAACTCTTTCTATGTTTGCTATAAAATTAAATATATTGTTTACAAAATTCAGTTTATTCTAATAAATTATTTTTTTTAAGTGTATTAATAGCTGTTGCTATTTTGAACAAGAAATAGAAAACTATCAGCAGTCATTGTAGCCTTAGATTTAATAATTTAATAGCATTTTTGGCAGAAGATAAAACTTTTGCTAAAACTTCTGCATTTGCTTAAAATTTTCAATCTTGTGTAAGTTCACATAATTCTGATATTATAGCAAACTTATCATTATCTAAAATCTAAAAATAATTATTTATTATTTAATATATTATAAAATTAAGAAATATTATATTTATAATATCTATGTTATATAACATCTATATAGTTTTAATTAGAGTTAAAGTCTAGCTTTAAGATAAATAGGTGTTTTGTTATTATACAACATATATTAGATATAAGATCTCAATAGGTTCTGATTTCAGTTCTTGTAAGGTTTTTGGAAGTTCTGAATATTTTTACTTAAAGTACCTAATTCTGTTTATTTAGTACATGATGTTATAAATATAATTTTCATAAAATTAAATATATAAAATAAAAAGATAATTTGGCAGAGATAAATAAGTAGCAGATCAAATTATATTAAAGTTTATATATAAATTATTAATTAAAAATTAATAATTTCAATTAAATTTCAATAAAGTTAAAGGCATGGCCTCACCACTAATATAAAAAAAAAATAAAAATCAATAATTCTTATATTACAAGATTTTTTTAAGTATTATAATCTATATAAATGTATTAATATAATAAACAAATTATAAGATTATTATAAATAAATAATTATATTTAAGCAGTATATTTAATTATTATTAGCAAACTACTTTATATTAAATAATTTATTTACTTTATTATTATTATGCATTGTAAATTGATAAGCACATAAGAAAATTTTGAAATTCTGATTAGATATTTTTTATAAACTTGTTAAAAAATCTATTTGATCTATAGAATTATTTACATTCAAGTTACAGTATATATATATATTTATTAAACATGCTAAAAATGAATTAAATTTGATTTAATTACAAAGAGATAATTATAGGATTTAAATATTTGGTATTCAAATTATAGTATATACTAGAGTTCTGCAAATGCTATATATAGAAACTATTAAAATATAGTGCCAGATACAGACCCATGCAACAATTTTAATAGTTATGTTTAGAACAGAATCCTAGTATATACTTATGTATATATATATCAAGTAATAACTTTATTCTTTAAGAATGCTATAAATGAATTAAATTGATTAATTATTTTAGAAAATTGTAAGATAATATTTATTGTTCAAATATAAAAAGAGATAATTAAAAGAGTATATTCAATATTAAATACAGTTCTAAATTATGCAAATTTAAGAGTAGAGGTGATATAGATTATTTGTTATATAATTTTTCTAGCAAATAAAATTTTATATATAAAAAAAAAACATATTACTAATAAAACTTTTTAGTATTATATTTAATTGTTATCAAAATTTAATGGCATATAAATCTAAAACTTTTAATTATTTTAATAAAATTTTATAATTTATTTTGTACTAAAAAAATTATTTTATATATTACTAAGTTTTTCTAGATTAGCTTATAAGTTTTCTAGATTACACAAGATTTATATATAAAATTTATGTAATATAAACAATATTTTATATATAAATCATATAATATTATATGATTTGCTATATAATCACTATTAAAAATAATTTACATCACTCTTATTCTTAAATTATAGTACATATTAAGTAATAACTTTATTTATTAAATAATGTATAAAAATTGATTAATTATTTTAAATAACAAATTTTTATCAAAACTTTTAAAAAATATAATTTTTATAGCAAAAAGACACTTAATTATAATTGAAAAATTTTAATACTAAAATAATAATCTTAAAAACAATCTTTTACTATTAATATTAAATAAAAGTTTTTAATAAAATATAACAATAAAGTGATTACAAATAAATAGAGTACCAAATTTTGATAAAACAATGTTTTTTTAATATAATAATATAGACAGTTTATAATAATATTTACAGTCTATAATAATATCAACAGTTAATAATAATATAGATAGCAGCAATAATTTAGATAGTTGATAATAATTTAGGCAGTTATTAATAATTTTGGCAACTAAAAAAAATAAAACACTATAGTAAAAATACTAAAAAAATTTCATCATATTGTCTGCTATAAATCATAATATAGCTATGTAATGCTGTTTTATCATGCAAAAACCAAAAATATAAATTTGAATTTTAAAATTTTATATATTATTTTTATAATAGAGTTTAAAATTAAATGATAAGTAAAATAAGTAAGATTTTTAATTAGGAATTTTATTATATTTAAATATGTATTGAAAATATAAGGGTCTTTGATATAATTTTGAAATTTAAATATAAAGATTGTATATATAAAAAATTTAGAAAATAATTAATTTTTATTATTTATATAAAAATTATTATATATATTGTTATTAGTATTAAAGTAATTTATATATTTTAAAATATGAAAATTAATAGGACTATAAAAATTATAATTTTTAGTTGTAGTATTAGTATAAATAAATTTTGTTATTATTAATAGCTTTATACTTTGGTTTAATATGATATAAATTGAAACTTAATTTTTATATAAAGGGTTTATGATAAATACTTACTTTATTATTATTATTATTATTATTAGTACAAAGTTTGTAGTCAGTACAAAATTTAGAGATATGATAAATTTATTTTTACAAGTAGCATTTTTAAGAATAAATTTTGATCTTTTAAATAGATACATTTAAAGAATATAAGTAATTTTATTACTTTTAATATAGCATATTTTATAAAATAAATTAAAAAAAGCTTATTAATATATAAATCTAATGATTATTATTTTAAATTATACTTTTAGGATTATATATACTATATTATTAAGATTTAAAAATAAATTTATTATATTTTATATAGGTATTAATAAAAATAGCAACTCTTTCTGCAAATCACTTATACCAAATTTTTACTAAAAGCATTTAAGTATTCTTAAATATTTTATTAAGTTAATCTTACTTGTACCCTTATATAAAGTTGTTTAGCACATGTTTTTGCCTATTTGCTCAAACTTTTATTATTTAAATATACTCTGCTTGCTATTAGTATTTTATTAAGCTTATCAAGATGAACATTTTAATATATATTTCATTCTAAACAGACAAAGACTCATCAAGTTATTAACAAAAAGACAAAACCTAAAACCTGTCTTTACAGGTTTTTTTAAAGACAATCTTAGAAAAATTTATAGGGGTGTCTGAAAAATTCACTTTTCTGATACCTATTAAAATTTTTTAATTAACCAATACTCTTCTATTATAATTTTACACTTTTTAGATTTTTATTAAACAAATTAGAAATCACAAAATGGTAAAAATTTTTTCAAAAAGCATAGTTTTAACAATTTTTAGTACATTCAGTTTATCTATAAAATAAGATATACTAATATGCTTAATAGTCACATCGATTATCATATTACATATAATGTAACTATTAATTATTAATATATTTTATTTACATTATGTTTTTTTTTTTTTTTTTTTAAGTTAAAGTCCTTAGCTTGGGAGTTGCGATGTTTTTATTCAAGTATATTAGAACATAGCATGCCACCAGGGGCTTACCTTATATTGGAGGTTACAACTAGCCATATGTGCACTTTTGGTGCCTAATTTAAGTAGTCTGCTTACACATTACTATATAAGTTTTACACTAGTTGCCATATCTGCAAGCCAACTAGGGGTCTTGCCTATTTAAACCCTCTGTATATGCAGTCCTTCTTGTATTATGGGAACATCTCAAGGCACCACCCATCCAAGTTTCTGATGCTTATCAGTCTTCTTAGGACTACTTTATTCTCGATTATATCTTATTAAATTAAGCTACATAATTATTTTTATTAATAATATTTAACTAAATTACTTTATTAATTTATATTGAAATCTTTATTTTTTTTAACAAGAGCAAGATGATTGTCAGTAACAATATGAATACAGTTTTAGAATAAAGAAACACAAAAATATAAATCTAATTTATAAGTGAACAGATCTCTCATAATACAAAAAATTTAATTATACACAAATTCATTGATTCTAATTAAAAAAAAATTTACTCTTATACCTTCAAAGTAATTACTTAAAATTAAGTGTTCAAAATGATTCTGATTAAAAAAAAATTACTTATACCTTCAAATTAATTACTCAAAATTAAGCATCAAAAAAAATTTAAGTAATTTATAGATTCTTCCTATGATCATAGTACTCAAAAATCAAAAAGATACACCAAACAAATGAAACTAATTGTAAATAATAAATTCAAATAAAACAGAATAATTAAAATCTTAATATAATAAGCTTTTCTTATTTACTTAATATTACTCAATTTTTATATTTTATCAAAATTTAATAGACTCTTTTCTCTTATATCAATATATATATATTTATTAAATTTTCACTTTAAATATATTTAAATACATATAATAAAAATATAAATAATAACACTATTTAGAATATTCTTATTTAAATATTATTCTAATCCTGACTAGATTGAATACTCATAGGAGAACATGTACAATTTTTAGTCTTTTTCTTTAATTTTTTATTTTCTTTTGCTAAATATTCATTTACTTTAATTAATTGACTTTTTTCTTTTTTATGTTGCTCAAGTTCTTTTTTTAATTGATTTAATTCATTACATACTTGTGTAATCTAAATTAAATTATTAAATTCAGTTTGTGAATATAATGCATTATTCTTATAATTTTGAATTATTTGTTGATGAGTTAATATTTGATGAGCTTGAAATTATAAAGGAAGTTCATGTTTATGAATTGGCATTCTATTAAAGATAAAAAAATTAATTTATTTTTTGATTAATTAAAAAAATAATAATATACTCACTTAAGTGTTATGATAAAAAGTTGGTAGGTATATATTGAAAATTTCATTTTTATTACAAAAATTAGTTATACTAAATTAAGTAAATATATGCTATATATATAATTTTTTTAATCATTTATTTAACATTATATCTAAAATAGAAACAATGACAATATATTACATATCTAATCTAATGATCAAATATTTTCTCAATCTACAAAATTTTTTTGTTAATAAGAAAAAATTGAAGAGTTGGATGCATTAAATTTTATAGTATTTATTTAGATAACTCTATTGTTATTAAATAAGTAATTGTTGATGAATAAACAAATAAAGTTTATTTTTTGTAAGTCAAAATTTTCTTCTTAATTAACAAATTATTGTTCTAGTTAATATAATCAATTAGATCTAGGAATTAAATATTCTTTTAATAATTTTGATTAAATTATTTAAGAAGTATAATTATAAATTAAAAAAAACAATTATCAATTATGCTAATACAAACTTGCAAAATAGTATTGATACTAACCTTTATAAAATTTGTATTTTAATATCTAAGATATTGAACTAACATGTAACAAATAACAAAATTCGCAGAAAAATATCCTTATTTTATTCATTATTTATATTCTTAGTTGATGTGATTACACTAACTTTCAACAAAAAAATAATAACCACATATATTATATACTTAATTTCTATTAACTTCTCACTAACAATAATATCAAGTATGTTAAACACTTTCTCAGTTATCAACATATTTATATACTAAAATTGATATTAATGATTAAGTAAAATTTTATTTAAAGTTATGTAGATCATAGTTAATACAGATAAGCTGTTACATTCTTCTTTGAGTAAAATATGATTTCACATAATTATAAAAAACTAATAAATATTAAAAAATGAACAAATTTTACTAATTTTTACTGAAACTTTGTGTGTATAGAAAGCACTAACAAAAATTTATCACAAACATACAAACTAGCTATAATAAATTTTTAACAACCTAATTTAAAAAGTTTATAGTCAAAAAATATATATATGAAAATTAACTATACTTTGTATATTTTAATCTTTTTTGCTGAATTATAAATAAACTATTTTAATTCTATCAGGTATTTAATGTTCTCAAAAAAGACACTTTTTTGGTATCTAATTATTTCGAAAAAGTCAATTTCTGACTTCTATTTAAAACTCAAATTCAATTAGTTAAAATAAAATATAAAAAATCTGGCATTGAATTGTGTTATGCCATATTGGTCATTCTATAGAGCCAGAATTAAAGTCAGAAAAACTTGATTTGATCAAAATTTCCATATTTAGAAAAAAGCCATAAACTGGCATCATATAGAAAAACTATTTTTTGACCAACACTAACTTTTAATTTTGCTCATACTGTGTCTTTCTGAAATATTTTTTGGCTATAGAATCTAAAGTGACCATTTCTGCAGAACTGACATGTTTTAATCACATGATAATTATATTAAAAATATATATTATACAATTATATTATATAAATTAATTTATTACATAATATATATTAAAATATAATAATATATAAAAATATTTTCAGATCTTTGGACTATCCAATAGATTAAATATTACACCCCTCTCTCATATATTATTACTAACACCCAAATCTAGATGAGCCTTGGCCACTCTTGTAGGTTTAGGTTGCAGAT